CCAACAAAAGAACACGTCAGAAAATTCTGGGCGAAAATGCATCGATTTTCTTTTTTGATGTTGCATCTCTGGTATAAATTTCAACGCAATCAGAAAAGTCACAATAAGGTATAGGTATACCAAAATAGATCTCTCGTTAAGTTCCATCTTCTCCTTTTCTTTTATCATCATGATAGAAACCTAATGAATAAAGAGATATCTCTTTTCGCACACAATATATCTTGTACAGACACATTCCTCACACCTGCTTTGAACAAAACAATGCTTATGTAAACAACGATAGTCAGAGGAAGTAACCAACAATAGGAGGCACATGTTACACGTGACATCGGACAAACGACATATGAGAGAAGATATAGATATCTACTTCTCTGGTAGATACGTTTGATAGATTCAGAGAAAAAATAATTTTTCTATCGTTCTGCCGTTTTCCTCTTTTCTATCGATTGTTTGAAACAAGAATATATATCTACCTACATCCCTATAATCTTACTTAAAACGAACAAAAAGAAAATTTTGCACATGGCTAGAAGAATCATGACAGATCTAGAAGCCGTTCATTCTACTAGCAACCCAAATAATTGAAAAGAACGAAAAAAATAAAAGATTTTTTTTCCATCTCTCTCTCTATATATATGGCTATATGTATGCATTCTGCATTCTTCTCTCTCTATAAAAACATGTGGAAGTTGTTTATAAATAGCATCGCATAGAAGACGTAAAACCATTAAATATTCTTCCTATTTCTTTGTAATTTATTGACGAATTTTATTTTTTGATTGTTATTGAAACAAAAACTATGGCAAGCACAAATTCTCCACAACAGACGGATTCTCAAGCTAATAGCGAAGATAATAAAATGGCATCGGAAAAAACGAGAGCTGGTCAAACAGGTGTTTGCAACACGTACGGTATGGACAGTGAACATCATACACCCGATCCGGGTAAAACCGTTGGTCATCACCAATGTGATAAGCCGAATTGTGCAGGAAATCATTCAGGCACCCAACACGAAGTTAAACACATAGAATAATGTGTTAAAGTACTATAGTGAATGTATTTTAATCGAGCGTTTATCGAAACTTGAAAAGTTTCATTTTTGTACATTTTTTTGCACTTGAATACATAAGATAAAATCAATTTAATGTTTATAACTGAGTGAGTAGTTTGGAGTTATGTGTTAAAGTACCGTGTTAAATGTATTTTCATCGATCGAGTACATAAAATAAAATTGATTTAATATGTATAACTGAGTAAGTTTGAAATTCTTTGTGCTATCAATCCTTAGAAGCTCAATCAAAGTGCTTATTGGTACCAGAATCATATCTTTTGAACAAGTAGCAAACAAAATGCTAAGCAATCCTATTCTATAAGAAGCTAAACTAAACATACATTCTCGAGTTTACTATGTATTTTTAAACGGTTTGCTTATTTCTATATCCCACATAAACAGAATTATTGGAATATGGTAATGTTATGTCTGTTTTTAACGGTCGAAACATATTAAAATAATATTCAATTTTTCGATCACTACTACTACCATCATCTTTTTGACCAGTACTATGCATTTTTCTTTCGGTTATGATTGACTGTTTTAAATAACTAGCATTTGTTATTGATCGATATAAATTAGGTGAACTTTGTCGATTATAATAACAAGGATTAGTTTGGGGTGTTATTCGGTGTTTTTTCCTACCCAAATAATAAGGATGTGTTGAATTATCGATCGTAAAGCAATATGGTGATATTTCATATTTATATTTATTATTTTCGCGCAGCATTGGTAAAATCGATAAATTATCAAATTTGCGTGACGAGTTCTTGTAAAGATAGGGTACATCAGTCAGCTCATTGTGTATACATGGAACATATTCGTGGATAACTTTGCCTAAAAACACGAATTATTGTTCATTCTGAATAAAAGATTGAATTTAGAAGAGTTTGTATAAACAGAGACCGTATGACGATGAAAACCTCATATGTAACTATAAAAATTACCTTTTGTTGTTTCTAATGCTGTTCTCATATCTTCTTTTGTTTCCCATTTGTTGACATTTTCTGCTATATAAACCCACGGATGAGAATCACGTTGGGGTGTGTGAAAACTATTTGACCATATCGTTACTACATGTCCACCTTGTAAAGCTGCTGTTGAATTGCTGGGAAATGTATATTCATTTAATGTTGGTAAATCATTGATTGGCTCGATATCTTCTAAATTTTGTTGTTCTTCTTCGATGATTATCGGTAATGTTGCGGATGTTTTACTATTACCGCCGATTGTTGGTAATGTTAACTGTGTGATAACAGATGATTTTGGAGTGGATGCTCGTTGAATGGGATATTGTCTTAGTGTTAAATCACTTAAGTCTATTGATCTTCCATGAGATTTGTTGATTAAACGAATAAATTGTCCATTGAAGTCGATATCCAGAATACGAAGATATTTTTTAGTTAAAACATTATTGTTACAATTACCAGAGTATCGAGACGATACTGATGACATACTATTATTATCACTAACAGTGAACATTGCTAAACTACGGAATAAGATTGGTTACTAACGAATGTGGAATAACACTGTTCTAACTGAAACGAAATTTTCTTTTTATGAAAAAATTCTTAATCGTACAAAATACATTATCAGACAAAGTTTTCTTCATACGAAATTCTTATATGGAAAATCGATATTTCTAGACTCTCTTAATGTTATATTAGTTTCAAACTTATGTATATGAATGTTTGAACATTGAACACGAAAATACTATGACTAACTGTGCATGATGTTAACATCTAGATGCGGTTTTTTACTGATACAATTATTTTTGCGGGTAAATTTAAACATGTTTTAATGTAGAGACAAACAAAAACGGTTTACTTACCAATTATATATTACAAATAAACGACAATGTGACTAATTTTTTTTGTTTCGGTATGGATGTATTGGTTATAATATCAACTTTCTTTCATTCATGTGAACAACACTTTTTCCTATTGAATTGATTTGCGTTAAATTCCAAATTGTTTTTTTGTAATTGACACTTGTCAAGAGTTTTTTAATGGATCAATTTGACATCTCTACTAGTTGTTAAAAGATTAGAAAGAATCATAAGGAGAAAAACAAAAAAAAAAACAAAAAAGAAAAAGATTTTATAAGGTGATTGAAAAAGCAGGAACGGCTCTAGAAATACTTTTGGATGAGTACAAATGTTATGTTGAAGAAAAAGAAATTTTTGCAACTTCAACGATATATGTTTAATTTTTCAAAATGTAAAAAAAAGTAAAATTCACTTTAGATATGCTCGATCACAGCGCACTCCTTCCGTATGTACAAATAAAAACTGTATATAGAATTTATAGTTTAACAGATATTTTGACGCATGATATGGATCCCACAGGCCACATTTAATGGGAGAAAATCATAATTACTTAAGTGGATTACTGTCACATGTACATATTTTTATATGACAACACACAAAGGGGTTTTATATTGAGGAAAGCATGTATTTAGACTATAATTCTACAAAAAGCAAAAATATTCAGTCTAAATTGATGTATATTACCTGTAGCTTTGAAATAATACTTAAAAACGTTAAAATTTGGCACGAGCAATAAGTTGTTCTAAACTTCATAGTTTTGGATGTATTCGCCCAAAAATTGCTGGTATTCAGTGCTGAGTGTCATTATTGTCCACATATTTAATGTGTACATAACTTTTTTATATCTATAACAGTAAAAACAACAAACCAAGCAAGAGTTAAGCTTCTTTTGCCCTGATCAGTGAATCTTGTAATCATAGTCTGAGTTTGTTGCTGTCATTTTTTGTGATAACCAGCAATAGTCTAGAATAGTTAACGTATTTTCTTTATTATTTCCACTTGGTGAGTGGAACTGTATTTCTGTTATCCTTCGGTTACTTTTTGTTTTGTTTTTTTGCACGAGAGAAACCCAATCAGTTATTCTTGAAGTATCACGACTACATTTTCACAGAAAAACCTATCATGAGAAAGTATAATCAACAAGCTAGTTTAACAAAAATCATGGTACTACCACGCCGCTTTACTTAAGTCATACACAACTATGAGCTTTAATCTAATTTAATTTTACAACCGCACTTTAGTTACTAGAGAGCCAAACAGAACTCATTTCTAGAATAATCAACAAAAGATACGACGACTGATTTCCTTTTTCAAGGGTCTTGTCAGGTGGTTTCTTTCAAGAAAGACAGAGTTAAGGCATGACAAGCAACACAATCGTGTGATAGTTATTATTCTGACAAAGAATAGTATCATCCTCACACGGTGAGAATGAGTTGTGTTGCTTGTTGCTTAACTCTGTCTTTCTTGAAGGAAATCACCTGACGAAACCCTTAAGAATGGAAATCAGTCGTAGCATCTTCTTTTGATTATTCCAAAAACGAGTTCTGTTTGACTCTCTAGTAGCTAAAAAGCGGTTGTAAAATTAAATTAGATTAAAATTGTATCAAGTCGGGTTTCATATTCATACAACTATGAGCTGCCAAGATCTTACCCTATTAGCTCTGCACTAATAGGTGAGAGAATTAAATGCTCATTAATCAAATTACACATATCTGCAAACTTTCTGTGCGAAATGAGCAAAATATCGGATCCACAATCTGCATCCGATCTGTATAGCACAAATCTCTCCTGATTTCTCTGAAAAAATGGTATACATGGTTTTTCAGAGTAATATCTCTCAACGGATCCACGAATGTTCAGTAGAACAATAATTCGTTACCGTAGGATCTTAGCCTTGAGTTTAATTGCAATTATGGAAGTCAGAAATGGATGTGAACATAGTGATGGGGAAAGCCATTGCGCTATAACTGTAGAGATTGCTTCTTGACGGCGTCTGACATGGTTGAATGTAGAATAATCTCTATATTCAGATATATATCTTGTCTCTTTACAACTTTTTTCTTCATCCAATGGTGGAAACATAGTCAAAAAGTACGAGTCAATATATCATTTGAGATTTGTATTATT